TTGTTTTTTAATTTTTATTTATATCTATACGCCTATTATTTAGTTGCCAGTATGATAACTACACGTCCCTCTAACAAAACCGATATTTTAGCTGTAGGTACAACTATACTTAGTTAAGTTTGAGTTAATTCATACATATCTCAATTACTGATTATCCATCATACCTAGACTATGAATTTATATTCAATGAAATATAATAAATAACAATTAAAAGTCGCATTTTTACTTTATTTTTTTACCACGAAAAACGTACAAAGTTTACTTAGCTTAGAGATATTATACCCGGAACCCGGATCAATACTGAGTAAACCTTCTGGTTGGAAAAAGGAGACGGTCAATACCGAAAAGGCGAAAACAGATACCGGTCGGAACACTATGGGTATATTCAAAAACAGTAAACATCCTCTTACCTCCGCATGTAGTGGTACTTGATGACCACGACGATGACCACGGAATTCGCTATGGCTGCGACCAAGAACAACGGGACGTAGAGACCGATCAACATGATACTTCTCGTTTCGGTGAATTTCATTTGAGACGACGAGAACTCAGCGATCAGCTCCTCGATGACCGCYGCCTGTTCCATCCCGGCCGCATTTTTCGTCCATAAACCGCTTACATTACGCGCCGTTGTGTTGTGGAACATTTCGTGTGCCGACGGTACGTTAACGTGTCTCGTTAAATTGTTCGCCCTGCAACGTCATAAACGATGCCACAATGAAAATACGTAATATTTACGACAAAATATAATATTATGATGTTATTATACGCCATGTAGGTAAACAAATAAAATTGTTCGTTCAATATATCGGGATAGTTTTGTGTCATACGGAATATTTTTATATTTATATCTCTATTCCAAAACTATCTTGCGAGTACRGCTAGTTTGAAGTTGTAAAGTGAAGATATTATGCAGTTTAAAATCTCATAGTTATTATTTATTTATGTAATGCAGTTATAAGTTATAGTTATAGTTATAGTTATTCAGATATAAACAGCGTAGTTATCGACGATTATGAGACATCTTTAACTATTGCCTATATAAGACCCTACAATTATTATGGTTTTGGCGAACGTTCACGATATGATTTTTGAAAAATAAAATTTTCCTATATTACCTATTGTCGTTATCATAATTTAAGTTTTTTTTGTTAAAGGCAGCGTACGTTTTAATTTTCACAACCAGAAACAGAACATTTATTTGCGAATTCAAAAATTAAATTTATAATCAGTAGTTAATTATCTATAAACGTAAGCATTTAAAATTGATAGTAGACGTGGGAAAGCATAGTGGTTTTGTCACTCGTTTGAATTGTTGTTTTATGTTGACTTCAAATTATTATTATATTTTT